AAGATACCTAAGAAAGGTGATAATTTTCTAGCAAGACTGATGAAAAATCAGTTAGGTGATATAATGACAAAACTTGCAGGCATTACAAGGATAGCAAAGGAACACTTTGAAAAACTTTATCCTCATGAATTCAACAACTTAGAATAAATAAACAAAACTTCAAAATCCACAAACTAACATTAAACCAAGATGTGATAAACTAAATGATCCTATTAGGAAAAACAATACATTTGTAACTAAATCCTTAAAAAAGGAGATTTGACCCAAATGATTTCACTGGAGGATTATACCAGATTTGTAAAGAATTCACATCAATTTTTACATAATTGATTTAAAATAGCTTAGGACGGAAAGCTTTCCCCTCATTTTATGAAGCAAGTACAAACCTGATACCCAAAACAGAGAAACACAGTGCTAAAAAAGAAAACTACAGACATGACGTCCTCCAATAACTTAGATGCAAAAATCCTCAATGAAACATCAGCAAGTCTAGTCCCACAATCTATAAAAGTCCATAACAATATGGAGGTCCAGCATACTCTGTTTTCTCCCCAAACACAAATTCAGCAAAAGCCATGGACAGGTCTCTTTGTGAACCATTCCAAAGTTAACTCAAAGTCTCCTGAATTCTGGGCAAATGTGTAGCTAGACTCCCTGAAGCCAGTAAGAAAACTTGGGATACCTCCTTGTTGGAAATCTTTAGCTTAACTCATAATCAAGAACAGACTGAGCTTCCAGCTTCTCCTGGACAGGTAAACCACTGGTTCATACATTAAGCACCCCACTTTTGTGATTGGTCTCCCCAGACAACTAGTTTCTGGATTGCCACCTGGGGCCTTCACAGTGTAGACACCTGGAGAGAATGAAGGTGGTAGGTGGCTGGTTGGTATAGATGAAAAACTCCAGCTCTCAAATCCCCCTTTCTGAAAGAAAGTGCTGCTCCTGCATCTAGTCACCAATTTCTCCAGGCTGTCCAAGAACTGGCATCTGTCTGGCCAGTGGCAGAGACCCCTGTAGTCAGGTTCCAGTGACCCACCTGCCCAGTGAGCGATGCAGGCCTGAGAAAAAGAATGCATTAAGAGACAGAACTAGGAGAGAGAACGGGGGCCAGGACAACCAATGCCAGTGCAACCGACAAAGGCCTTGGACAGTCCCAGGCACTGACTTCTATTGGCAGTCAATTGGGGTAAAGGCAATGTGTGGTTTCTATGGAAATTAATGCAAACAAGGCTCATAAAGGACAAGACAAAGCATTCTCAAGTTAGGAACAGAATAGACAAAAGATATGGTTGTAATTAGAACATTGTCCTCCTAGTCTGAAGGTTTAGTTGTGTGAGTGGAATTTGGGTACGAGTTACCCTGACCTGGGCATGTAGGCTTTGGCCAGACTCGCTTCTCAAAACAAGCCAGTTGTGGGGTTAACTCCTCACAGCCTGCTTTGGGTATAATCAGTATTATGGTCCTCTGCAGCCAGTCTTAGAACTCCAATGGGTGTGGCATCATCCAGCTGCCCGAGGAGAACAGAGATGACAGCTTTGGGTGATCAGTGCCATGCAGAGCTCATCTTCATGAACTGTGCAGAGCAAGAGATGGAATCCACTGCTGTCTGCTTCTCCCAATCATGGAAAGAATTAGTGCCAGCAGCCAATGTACAACTTTTTCAGGGGTTTCCCAAAGGACTAGCTTCTGATCTGCCTTGCTCAGAGTGTTGGAGAGACCTGAAATGATCTAGCTACTCAGGGGAAAGTTTAAACAAAGGTGGGAATTTGGCTGGCTCTTGCCATAGGCCTCCCTCCTCCTTGAGCGTGGAGCAAGTGGACAAAATCCCAGGTTCCAGATTCTCCTTGAGGAAGGAGAAACTTGGATGGAACAGCCAATGGTCTAACTTTCTGAGGGATTCCTGAGGAACTAGCTTCAGCCTCCTGGTCTTGGTGCTCTGGTTTGAAGTGTGCACAGTGTAAAAACGGTGGGTTGCACTAGCATGAAAGTTTAAGAATCTCTGGGATGATGATTGGTAGAAGTCCTCTCTTTTATGTAGCCAGTCTGTAATGAGTAGAAGTGGCTGCTTTGTTTAATGGACAGAGATTAACAGAGAGCTGGGGAAAAAAAAAATCAGGCAAAATGCATCAAAGGAACAAGATTGATCTCCAGAAAACAACAGTAGTGAAACAGAGTTATGTAATTTACTCAATAGAGAATTCAAACCATCATAAAGATACTGAGGTCAAGAAAGCTATGCATGAGCAAAGTGAGTTTCAACAGAGTTGGAAAGTAGATATAAAAAGGCACCAAACAGCAATCATGGGCTGAAGAACATCATTCACACAATTCTGAAAAATTCACTAAAAGGGTTCAGCAGCACTAAATTAAGCAGGCAAAAGGATTGGTGAACTCAAAGATAGGTCCCTGTAAATTCAGTCAAAGGAGAATAAGAGAAGAAAACATTTGGACCAACGTACACACTCTGGGAATTATGGAAAGACCAGAGAAAAGCAACAGAAAAGCATATTTAGAGAAAAAATGTCTGAAAATTGCACAAATCTAGGATGTGGATCAGGTTAATGAAGTCTCAAGGACCCCACATAAGAAGAATGTAGAGAAATACACAGCAAGACACAGTATAATAAAACTATCACACACCAAAGATAAAGAAGGAATTTTGAATGCAACACGAGGAAAGTCACTGGTTGGTGAAAGGGAACCTCCATAAAACTGCCGCTGGGTTTCCAGCAGGAGCCTTGTGGGCCAGAGGATGTGGGTGACACGTTCCAAGTACTGAAAATAAAAGACCACCAAGCCAATGCCATACCCAGAAAAACTGTCCTTCAAGACTGAAGGAGAAATCAGATAAACGGCTGCTGAGGGAGTTCATCACCAGCAAGCCAGCCTCGCCCAGAGAGAGTGCTTCCCTAACCACCTAGGTGTTTCTTTGTTGTTGTTGTTGTTTTGGGTTTTTTCCACACTGGGGATCAAACTCAGGACCTTCTCTTGGGAGGCAGGTGTGGTGCCACTGAGCTAAATCCCCAGCCCACCTAGGTGTTTCTTAGTCCAATCAAACTGGAGTATAAGGGTCATATTAAAATATTGAAGGAAAGAGTACTAACCCTCTTGAATTCTGTTTTCATTTTCATTTTATTAACTTGATCTTTACTAATTTTCACAATCTATTTTTTTTGAAATGATATATTGTGAAGATTCTACATACAATTATTTGTCTCTGAGCGGGGTTGAATTTTGTTTTTTTAGTTGTTGTTTTTAAATTCCAAGGACTAAATCCAAGGCCTTCACACTGAGTTTCATCCCCAGTGCCCCAGCCCCTTTGTAATTTTAAGACAGTGTCTGGTTAAATCACTAAGTTTCCCCGGCTGGGCTCAATCTTTTGATCCTCCCTCTTCAGCCTCCTAAAGTCCCAGGATTACGGACGGGCGTGTGCCACCACACCCAACTCAGGTTGACTTTTCTAGCAGGAGTTCTATGCTGAGAGATTACCTTAGATGATGGAGGGTCATCTTTCTGCTTTATTAGATATGTCATTGTTTGATCTGCCTTTGACTCCTAAAGTATGTTTCATTCTTTTTTCAAAGGACAGGTGGCAAGACACAAATTCCAAAGTGTGTCTCTCATATTACAGGAAAAGGCATTCACTTTAGCCCGGACTGTTGGCTGTTGATAACCTCTCTGGACATGTTGGAGTCTTGTCCTCGTGTCAGGGTCAGGGGGCTGAACAGGTGCCCTGTCAGGTGAGGTTCCCAAAGAGAAGAAAACTTGTGGAGCAGACATCACAAGCAAGAAGGAACAACTCTGTTTTACAGCACAGCACTTACAGTGGTTGTTATCAGCTGCTGGGTCATGGTGGGACCAAGCACCTGGATGACCTTGCGGGCCACATGGTGCTTATGTGGTTGTCCGTGCTGATTCATTGTTATATAACAAAACCCTGCGGTGCACCTGGGCTAAATGATGGGATTGTGTCCTCCTGTGTCCTCAGACGCCCTCAGACGCCCGGGCTTTGATGCATCTCACAGCGGCCGCACACTCCTGTGTGCAGCTTGGGAGTCACATGAGGGTGTGAGGTGAGTCTACAGATGCTCTGCTCTCCTCTGCTCTGAGCCTCTGGAGGTGTGGGCCACCCTTACATGTGCCCGGTCACTTCCCAGGGTGAGGGGAGGGGGCTTTCTCCTCAATCTCCGCCCTGTCCCCGATGGAGAAGGCCCTTGGGGAAAGCTGAACAAACATTATCTCGTGAGGCTTGGTTCCTTCCTTCCAGGAATTGGATACCTTTCAGTTTGAATCCATTATGAGCTCTCCAGTTGCATGTTGTAATTTGTGTAGATTTTGTGATTGGGCAGGAGGCTCACTCTGCTGTTCCTCACTCTGGTGTTCCTCAGTGGGAATTTCATTAACCTCAATTTTTGTTAACATTATGGTGTAGAGTTTACCAATTTTTATCTTAATTATGATTGCCAATTCCACTTGTACTCATTCTTCATTATTACTTTATGCTTGATTTAATAAATGTAATTGTGCTTTTATTAATAGAAGTGCTTTGGTATCATTCTCTCTTGGGTTTAAAAGTGATATAGATTTATTATAGATTATTTGTCCATTTTTTTCCTTACTAAAAGTTAATGCATGGATAAGTTAAAAAAGAAACCACCACCAAGTACTCTGGGAGGGGGAGGCAGGAACATGTCAGGTTTGAGCCAGCTAGGGCAACTTAGCAAGACCTTGTTTCAAAGTAAAAAAATAAAAATAAAAACAGTTGAGGATATAGCTCAGTGCAAAGTTCTAGGGTTTAATCCCCAATGTCTCACAAAAACACACACATTTGCATACGCACACACACATGCATATCCTGGAACTCAGAGTATTTAGGTACCACCTTCTTCACACATCAGTACATTGGTGGTCATCAAACCCTAACACTCATAGAGCATCTCCCACTGAGGTCAAAACACCACACTTGAAGATATCAAAGTGATAGATGATACTGAGTTTTTATTTTGTTTCCCTTCTTGCTTTGGCTTCATAATCCCATTGGTGCTAATTAGAGCATTTTTGTCTTCAAGCTTCAGTGAGTTGTGTTCAGAAAGCAGCAGAACAGTGCAGGAGAATGAGGGGTAAATGAAGAGGCCAGGAGGAAGAGGGAATCCAATTTTGAACAATTACAAATGGTTGGTGGGGAATGGCTGAATGTCTGTTAGTGCTCCTGACTTTTTGCAACACAGTTACTGAGAAAATAGATCCTATTACTCCACAATGAAGGTGTTCAACAAAGTAATGGCTCAGGCTCTGCTTCATTTTCCTTTCCAATTAATCTCTTCAAAGTCTTTCTTCATGGAGCCATCAGAGGGTCAGGAGGCCCAGCATCAGTTTCCTTCCCCATGATCCTTTTTCTTCTCATGGCATTCCCTTCCTTACCTTTGACTGGTTTTCTTTCTCCTTTTAGAGCCTCTAAAATATATAAAGAATAATTTTTTTCCTTCAAATTTGAATCCAAGGTATTGGTAATTACAGGTAGATGCTCTTATGCACAGCATGATCATCATTCAGTGGGATGGTTGCATATAAGGTAAAAAGAACATTGTTAATAACTGACACATAGGGCCAGGGATTTAGCTCTGTGGCACCGCCACCTTCCTCGAAAGCGCAAGGTCCCAAGTTGAATCCCTGGTACCTCCCCGCCCCCTGCCGCCAAATAACTGACACATTAGACTTCTGAGCTATCCCGAGACATTTGATAGGATAAATGCAAACATGAATATTTTGATGGAAGAAAATGTTTGCGGGAAATGCAAATTTTCAAGCCCCCAGTCTTCTGTCAGGGCTGCTGTAATTTTTATTAGGCTTGTTAAAAAGTGAAGGGCTGTGGGGCTGGGTGTGGCCAGGGCTTTGGTTCATGTGAAAAACTGGACAGTGCTTTAACATTCCTGCGGTAGGAGAAGTAAAAGATGGGTAGAAAGGAGACAAGGAAATCCTAACTAAAATAAAGTGCTTTTAAGCAGACTACCCCTCTGGGCTCAGTGGGTGTCACTAAGCCCCTCAGCAGCGTCCTCTGACAAGGTTCACTGTCGGCCCCGCCTTGAGGACCATCACACCCCAGACTCTTCAGGAACAGCTCACCGAGGGCCATGAATCGGCTTAGTTGAGAAAGAAAAGAGCAGGAACTCAATCCTAAAATAAAGGAACAGACTGAGTGAATCCAAAGAATATTTAGATTACCTAGCTTAGTAAAAACAAAAATAAGTGGGCCCAACCTGCAGCCCGGGCCTCCTGGGGTGTACCACCTTCTCCGGGGCTCCACCCCCAAGGGAAGCACAAGTACCTGCACTCCAGGAAGCACTGCACCTGGCTCTCCGAGGTCACGCCAGTTCCGAGCGTAGATCTTTTAATTTCTGCCTGGTAACCCTTTCCTCTTATTGACTCCTGAAAACAATTTTTTTTTTCACAGAAGGAGTCAGCAAACCTGAAGACCTATTGTACAGGTAGGGTGGGTTAGGTTCCTTCTCTCAGCTCCAGAACCTCCTAGGACCCCGTCCAGTGACATTCCCAAGGAGAAAACCGAGCCCCACTGTTTGAGAAACTGTAAGGTGGATCCTTTCCTAATTGCCAATTAGGTTTCTCCTCTTCCAATAAATGTGAACAGGACTTTGAAAATGTTGTATAAAAGAGGACTAGACAGCATTGTGTATACGAGTACTGCAGACCTGGCTGTGAGCTTTCAGCCCTGAGTTTTGTCTTAAAGTTAGAGTGAAAGTGAGAGATGCAACTCTTACTAGAAACCTAAACTACGGACTTAATAGAAGGTACGAATACCTGTATGTCCCAGTAAGAGGACCACCTCCAAGGAGGATGCCAACCCTCCAGCTGCTTCTCATCTTGCCCTTTAGAAGCCTGACAAGGCAACTTGCTCATCTTCCATTTGGACTAAAAGAGAAAAGACTCGCTCAGAGAATTTCATTTGCATGTGGTTTCTTATAGTTACTGTATCTATTGAGAATTAGCATTATCCTTTATATTGCTGCACAGAACATGTGCTTTGTAAGCATTCTTTTAAAGTACCCTGAATAACATGAGTACCAAGATGCAGAGATGCTGCCGCTACCCCAGCACCAAACTCCCTGATTTCCCACGGGAGGATTTGCCCCTGCAGCTGCCTTCTCCTCCAGGGTCCGAGGCTCCTTTCAGGGACATTCAAGCCCACAACACTGCCTCTCTGATTTGCTTTCATGAATGGTATGTGGGTAATCACAGTTGTTGCCCCTCTTAAAGACAGAGCGAAATGTTTCATTTTCTAGTTACTAAATCTGAAGCGATATTCCTTGTTAGTGACATAAGGTGAAACTTTTAGTTTTACATAACAGTCACAATTTGCAATTGTAATGAGGGCAAGGATTCACCAGAAAACCCAGATTGTCTCCAGGGAAAGGAGTGAGCCAGGAGGAGAGCAGGCCCGGCAGGAGGGGTGCTGGGCCCTGTGGCCACCCTGCCCCTGCTGCAGGAAGTGGGTGGGGCTGACTCCTGGTGTCTTCCCGTCTGAGAGGGGTTTGCTGACCCAGGAGGAGGAGGGAGGGCAAGGCGGAAGAACAGTGCTGGAGAGTTGAGGAGAAACTGGGTAGTTCTCTGGGTGGATGAGGCAGTGAGGAGGTGCAGTCCAAGGGGTGGACAGGAGGAGGAAGTTTTGATAACACTGCTGTGGGGGAGGAATGACGGCAGCGACACTGCACCTGATGAGCGAGCAAGGACCACAATTCCTTCTGAATCACTTTTATTTGCTGGGCCGAGCTGCTCTGAATGTGGCAGAGTTGAGCCTGAGCCACTTGGGCTTCTGGATTTATTCTGTTCGCAAAGATTCATGGATTCTAAATGTGAAAGCTAGATTAAAAGCTGATTTATCTTTTGGCAGGCAGGCAGGGAACTGAGAGTAGAACTAGGAAGAACAGACTCCTTGAGCTCTTATTTTGGGTCTTCCACAAATTCCCTGAATGACTTTGGGCCAACTTTGACCTGTTCTAGGCCACCATTTCTCAATTCATAAAATAAAAGATTAAATGAGGTAATTGGAAGGTTAATTCTCAGTCCTTTAACTTCGTGCACTCTGAGTTAAAAATGTCAGCACCCTCTAATGCAATTATTTTATTACTAGTGGTTGTTAGCATGTTCATAAAACAATAATGAGGGCAGCTATCCCTCAGTGAGCCCTTTTATCTAGTCAGGAGTTACTTGCGTATTATCCCACTATGACTCATTTAATTTTACCAACAGCCCTTCATGCGAGGGGGGGGGGTGTTATTATTATCTCTATTTTATTGGGGAAGAAATGAAGACTCAGGAAGTTTTAATGAGCTGAGACCAGAAAGCTTCAGCTGATGCCAGAAAGGCTGTGTGGACCAGATTGGCCTGAGCCTGACTGGTGACCCCCACCCTTGTGCCTGTGGAAGGATCTGGACCACTCCCAGGGCCCCCAGGGCCAGGATTCTCCTGGTGTGGTCGCCACCCAGTCTGCTGAGCCCAGTGTGGCCCTGGCCTGGAGTCCAACTCTGTAGCTCTTGCTGGGCAGTGAGTTGCTGCCATTTCCATCTTTTCTGGAAACGTCACTCTCCGTATTTAAGCCAAGCCTTAGCTTCCAACGCTCTGCATAAGGTTGAGACGCAGCAGCTTCTGTGTTTTAAGTAGAGAGGCTCAGAATGGCACTGTTACAAATTCCATGAAACCTCGGGGGTAAAGCATCTCTGCTTGTGCCCAGTTACTTTTGCATCATTCTCCTGGATTCATGCAATTGCTGTTTGCCTGGAATTGCAGTAAGTGTCTTAAGAAGAGCAGTTGTGAGAATCTGATTCCCTTTTTACTAAATATAATTCAAGATCTGGCCACAAGGAATACAGGGTGTAAATGAACTCTACCTCTTCCTTCCTTTGCCCCCTCTTCTCCAGGCAATCGAATCCCTTCTCCTCCCTGGTCACACAGCCCAGGGTCCCATGCGTGTGGAAGTCTTTCCAGCAGGGGAAGGGGAATGAAGGGCAGAGACACCTGCGCTTGCTTGAGCCACCCCAGTGCCACCTTCCACCTGAACCTAATTTATGTGGGAAATATCTCGGTTGAGTTCTAGACAGGACTTGTTCTGACATCTAAATGAAGTCATGAAATTTAAGAGAATGCATCTCAGGCTTCTTCCACATAAATTTTTGTGCATAATTATGATCTTTCCAGGTGGAATTCATCACTTTCTCTTCTGAGGTCCCACAGCATATTTATTTATATCTTTATTATAATATAGAGCCTACCCTTTCCTTGCATTACCTTGATTTATGTGCACGCCTTTTTCTCCTCTTAGATTATAAACTTCTTAAGGCCAGGTATCATATTTATAGATTTGAACTGCAAATTTAAATCTTGAGAGACGTAGCTTAAATCTTTATGATGTTCTCATACCATATATCTATAAAACAGCTAAAGTTAAATTTTAAAGTTCAAAGTGAGTCCTTTAATTCAGAATTCAAGGTTGGCTTGAATGTTTGGGATTTTTTTTACAGTGAACAAAATTTCAGGAAAGAGGATTGTTAAGGACTATAACATGTCCTTGCCATTCCACCCAGTCCGATCCTGAGGGTGGGTTTTGTGAAATAGGAAGACAGGCGTGACCCTTTCCCTGTCACCTATCTTGCCCTGAAAGCCCGGCTAGTTTCTCAGCACAGGGCGGGGCTTTGGTGGGCGCTCCAGCCCCTGAGGGAGGCGGTTACCCACCCTCTCCCGATTCCGTGCCTGAGAGAGGAGGTGTGTGCAGCACGGATGATGCACTTCAGTCAGGGCAGGCAGTCGTGCTGCTGAAGCCTCTAATCTCAAAGTTCAGCCTATGTTTTGTTGCCATTCTGAAACACATTAGAGATGCTTTCCTTGCTTTTTGTGGGGGGGGGGTAGGGGGGAGTGGGAATGTGTTTTATTTTTTCTCTTTCCAGAAAAGGTCAGTATACCAACATGAAGCTCTAGCGGTTTTCAGTATAAATTGTGAAAAGTCAATAAAGTGCCATTCAGTTCTGAGATCCTGATAATGAAGGTGTGCCAGGACTTTCCACCAGGCCTCTGTCTGTCTGTACGACCGTCCATCCACCTATCTGCCCACCCATCCACGTTCTTACTCCCAGGAGCTGCTTTTGATAGACAAATAACCCATTTTCTTCAGAAGCAGTGGCCCTCCTCCTCTGCTTTGTGTTGCTTCCTCGCTTCTCTTCCTTTTCTGCCTGCATCTTCCCTCCGAGACCCTTCAGGCCGGGCGTTGTGCGCCGGGGAACTCAGGGCCCCCGTGACGCTGAAAAGCATAAGACAGAACTTCACAGCGCTGTAGGACGCAGCCTGGTGAGCAAGCCGTTAACAAGGAGTCACACGGGTGGACGCCCTCCCAGGAAAATGAGAGTGGACAGAGGAGAGCAGCAAGAAGAAGAGGCAGCGGTTGAGCTGCAGTTGAAGGATGAGCAAGGAGAGTTACAGAGACATCTCAGGCCCAGCTTAGGGTGAGTCACAGGGTGAGGGCCGAGGGGTGACACCGCGTCCCTGCATGGCACAGGTGCCGATAGGTGGGCTGGGCGTCGGGCCCACGGTCTGTCAGGGTCCCAAGGAGCGGAAGGACAAGCTCAGCCTTCCACGCGAGACGGATCCGGAGGGGAGGTGGGCGTGCACTGGGAGGCCGCGCTGCTCTGCTCCGGGATCCTTGGGAGGCGTCCTCTCTGGCCCCGGGGGTCCCTGAGGGGCTGAGCAGGCAAAGCAGTGAGGACCAGGAGAGGGAGGCTGAAGACTCACTTAGCAGACATCTCACCAAGCCTTTGCCCCGACTGGGTAGAGGGACGGGGAGGAGGTTTCCATCCCTACCGTGGAGTATGCTCCCCGGAGCTGCAGGGTTCAACGTCCAGCTGCGGTATTCACTGGCTCTCCTGTAGCCCCCTGGCTAGAACGGCTGACAGGTAGTAGTGAGAAAGTTCCATGTTGGGCTGCTTATCCCGTCATAGAGTTAGAGCTCCACAGATGCCTCCGGCTTCAGCTTTGGGGGGCGAATCTTCTGGACCCCGGAGGCTTGTTGGTCTGTATTCCCTGCACACCGCTTGGATGGCCTGTGGGCAGCAGCCCTTAGCCTCCTTGGGAGTGGTCTCTAGGTAGCATCTCTAAAGATCCAATTCATAAAGCAAGCACTACTAGAAACCCTCAAAGTCCATGTGATCCCAGTATGTCATAGAGATATTCATACCTCGAATAAAATTGGAACTCTATTGGCTAATTTTTGGCTATTCTTGTTTTGTCATTTAAATTTTATTAGTGCATGTTTGCAGTACATAATGATCACATTGGTCATGGGGAGTTGGTACAGTGCATAACACATCTAAATCTTTCCTTTTTTGTCCCCTTTCTGTTCCTTCCTCCTACCCTCCTTCCCCTCCCCTTTTGCAAGAAAGAAATCAGATGCATGAGTTTATAGGATTTCTTTCTTTCTTTTTTTTTTTTGGTACCAGGGATCGAACTCGGGTCCTTGTGCTTGCGCAGCAGGTGGCAAAACCACTGAGCTAAATCCAGGGCCCTGATGCATGAGTTTAAATGTTGCATTGTTCCTCTTATGTGAGAAACTCAAAGTATAAATAAGGAGCAAAATGGAGGACGGATATTAGGAAGCAGGAAGAGTACGGTCAAATGGGAAGGGGAACAGGAGCTGAGGGAGGAGGAAGGAAAGAAGGGAAATGGGATTTAAAGAAAAAGAACTGAAGGGAAAAAATTCAGCTATTCTGATCTGAGACAATTAGGTCTATAAGATTCCCATAATTATCAACACATGAAATCTTTTTTGCAGTTAAAACAATGTTGTAGTTGGCGTGTCTCCTGTTTTAAGCTCATGTGGATCATTCTCCTTTTGTTCCATCTTGAACAGCTGGGGGAGGCCATGATTGAGCCTGTCAACTTGAAGGATGTTTTTTAGATTTCGAGATAGGTGGGGATAGTTTTCCCTTTTTTCTTCACATGCGTGCAGGAGTTAAGTGGCTTTTTCAGAAGATATCACTGTTTCCACTTCATGAGGCGTTATGCTTGTAAATCCACCCCTTTCAATTCTTTTAATAATAAAACAATAGTGCTTCTGGCTGAAGTTTGTTGAAATACAAGGATGTGCTAGCACTGTATAACACGTTTGGTACAGACTTTCTCACACAATCTTCGTAAGAAGTATGAATAAGTGACA